GTGGCATTGATATAAATAATTAATGTATATTATATTATATTTTAATATTTAATAAATTTATTTAGCACCTGATTTTTGAAATATTTTAATAAGTTTGTTATTTATGAAACGTGAACTTTAAAAATAGGAAATATGTATTGTTCCCTAAATACAAACTGCAGTTTTTAGCCCAAGAACAGATGAGTTGACATCAATTTTGTTGTCTTGAAGACAAGTCCAGTACCTAAAACTGCCCAATGACCTTTGGGCCAGTATGGGATAAGAGGCCCAATTTAATGGTCACAGATCCACGAGGGCCAACATGGTTTTGATTCTACACATTCCATTCTTCTATCTTTCATCCTAATTCAGCACATTAATAGGATTAATCCGAAGAGTCGCAGAGCCCCCGTTTGACCCCATTATTTGAGATTATAATTTTTAAAATTGTAATTTTTAAGAATGTGTGATTAAAAAAGAAAACGCTTTTGATTTATGTGTAATATTATCTTATCAGAGAATATGTGGTTGATAAGAAAAGAGAGAAATTGATTATAATTTTAATGGAGGCCAAATGGGGGCCTAATTTGAAACTGGTAACAAACCATCCGCGAAGAAAGTTGCTGATTTAAAATCAGGGATGGAGTTAGAATTGTAGAGTAGTGGGGGACAAATTAAGTGATAATATAAATTACGGTTTCAATGTTATAAAAAATCAACACGGAAGATTATACTGCTCAAAAAAGTAATTCAAAATAATATTTATCTTCAGACAAAAAAAAAATCTTCATTTTGAGCAAACAGAAAAATACCAAAACTGAAAACCCTAAAAGGCAAGTATTTAGAGCTTGTTTGGTAGGGATTTTTGGGGGAAGAATTGATTTTGAATAGTGATATGATGGGAAATATGTGGTTGAAAAAGAANAAAAAAAAAAAAAAAAAAAAAATTAAAAAAATTACTATACCGAGTACCAATCGTTTGACTTTGTTTTACATGGAAATTGTTAATAAAAGTGATAAATTTTTTTACCATTGTGTCTAGAATTTTTTCCAATTGTCAAAAAAAAAAAAAGAAAACCTAAAAAAAAAAAAAAAAAAAAAAAAAAAAAACTCACCGTCGTTGAAAATTTCTCGATATCGTGTTATTTTTTCAAGCTTCAATTTAAACAAGTTTCTCATAGCTTTGTTTATTCAAACTAGAGAACTTTTCTTCTTTGTCTTGTTTTACCATTTACACGATATTTAAGAATGGGCAAAAAGAAAGAGTACAATGGAAGCCTTGAAAGATGAAAAGTTGGGACAAGTATTGAAAAGTTTTATCATTGTCAAAATACTATATTATCCTTCGATCCTGACATTTTGAAGTATTAAATTTTAATAGTACGAGCAAAATCATATCACTAAATTTATTTTGTTGACCAAAATTTTGAAATTGAGCGTGAGGATAACTGACCCCGTTACCCTACAGTAGATTCACTCTTGCTCAAAAGCAATAATGAATGATTACGACAATGTGAACATTTGGCAATGCGAAGGTTTAAGTACACGACTTGTCACAACTTTAAACAAAAGTTGCGAGAAAAAGATTGTGCATATTTGGCGAAGTTTATTATTGCTTATAAGCAATTTAAACTCTATTTTTAATCTATACATTCGATGAGATTCACAACTTACAATTTAATATTTTTTTACCAAACATGCTCATATAAAGAATCGCCGGAACAAGTAATATTCGTTGTCATTATATACATTAGAATGTAGAGAACCTATACTACCTTTATCTTCCTCTTTTATGTCTTGTTTCCGACTTGAACGATGAAGGGTTTTTGCTAGGAACACTTCCAACATGCCGCCTAACGTTTATTTGTGAGCATACACAAGCATATTGAACGAATATTCTCTGGGATTACTGCTGGCCGGAAAATGAAATATGCATACACACTGGTCGGTGAGAAGGAGAGGTGGGGGTTAGTCAATTTTCCCTATAATCTTTTAGGTCTCAATGGTTGTGGCCAAACTTGTAGAAATAATGAAAAAGAAGAATATGTTAATTGAAGTGACCATGTCCTTGTCATTTTGGTCATGCATGGTGGGGCCCTTTCGAAAGTTGTGATATTAGTGCTATAATAATGGACGGCATCAATGTGCATCGCTAGTTTCTCAATTTTCATAGTGATTATCATTTGTTTGATTTATATAGCACGTACTAGATTATGACATATGGACGGCGTCAATGTGCATCGCTAGTTTCTTAATTTTCATAGTGATTATCATTTGTTTGATTTCTATAGCACGCACTAGATTATGACATATATGTGGGATTCATTATAAATATCACAATGTTGTTTAAGGCCAAAATTGTCACTCAACTTAAAACACGAGTAATGGAAAGGTGATTACAATAATATCATAATTTTTATTTGTTACATTACTTTGTAATTGTACTTTCAGATATAAATCATATGGACAAAATGTGTTAATTAATGTAAAATTAAAGAAAAAAGATGGAAACATGTGTAGCTACGAGCAAATATTATGGAAATTTAGTACACCAGAAGGAATTGAGAATTTTTTAAATAGGAAATTAGGCCGTGTTTGATAGGCTTGGTTTTCCATGGAAAATGGAATTGGTTTACTATTTTCCATGATTTATTTTGGTGTTTGATAGCAATTTTTTCCATGCCAAA